TACTCAATTGAGAACCTTTCAAAGGCAAAAAAGTTGTCGAAATAACACTTTATGTAAATTGATATTATACCTATATACAGGTTGATTGAAATATTTCTGCGCTCGAAATGAAAAAATACTGTTGGTACGAAATGTATATTTTTACTCAATATAATCTCCCTTAACTTCAATACATTTATTCCAATGATCCTCCCCCTAATTTTATGCCATCACTGCTATGAGAAATTTCCGTAAGCTCTACGAAATACCCGTCTATATGTCTGTAATAGCTTCTTCTTTCGATGAAAACAGATTTTTTATAAGTAATTCTCCATGTAAAATATGAAGCACTCATTCTTCTAAGATGCCCATTTCATTAGCAATTTCACGCTTAGTCAAACTTGAATCTTCACTAACTATACCTATTATGAATAGTACGACCACGTTTACATTCACCAGCCCAAAATTCAACGATCCGTTTTTATGGTGAGGACTTCTCATACACTTTTTCCTTTGCTTTTAAAAATTTCAAAACAAAGAATCTAATCCCTGCGCAATATTCAATTTTCCCATATTAAAAAAATACTCTGACGCGTCAACTTCAAATAGCTTGTAAATAAAGAATTAATTAACAGAATCACTTATAACTTTGCATGTGTTCTCACGACAGATGTACCAACTTAAGAAAACAATAATTTGGAGCTAGAAATACTTTTTCTTGGTGAGACCAACCAACTTTTCAACTAACCTGTATGTATGTAGTAAAAAAAAAAGTAAACCTTGGTCTTTTTTTGGCTAGAACATGATTAAACGCCAACGAAACGCGACGGCCTTTTACTTTTATTAATAAAACTGTTCTCACGTCCTCTGGTTTCTTATATAATACTTATACCCCAACATTTATTAAAAAAATTTACGCCAATACTTTGTGAATTGCCAAAAGACTGATTTCTAAGAGGACTGCGACCAGTTTGAGCAACATCATTACTATTGCTATACAAAACTTCTTTAAAATAGAAAATTCTAAATAAATTTTAGTATGAAAGAACAACTTGAATTGTTCTAACAATTCAAGCCCAACAAAAACGCTTGCCGGGGATATTCAGAACTTACTTAAATACATTTTTTTAACTTTTAAAAATAATTTATTTTTAGTTTAAATTTACTAAGACCCAAAGCATTTGTCCACTTAAGAGAAGACCCTATGCTCATGCCTTTCATAATTCCATGCACTTTTAAAGATTTTTATGGCAGTTGTTATTTTGTTTATTTGCGTTTGGCAAATTTATTTACTTTTCCTTTGCCAACATTTTGAGATCCCTGCCGTCTCTTGTCGAATGCGCTGCTGTAGCTGCCCCACGTCGTTTATCTTTTGTCCTGCGCCATTTTATCTGATATCCTTGTTTGGCGATGCGCATTTCAAATTCAATACAGCCATTGGCAATTTGGCCTGCTCACCTATTACAACATGCCGCGTACTCGCCGCTTGCCGCTTGCCTTATACCTCGCACGATGCGTTATTTATGGCCCTGCCATTGATGCTGATGGCGAAAGCACTTTTGAAATTTTGCCAACAACGACAGCAACAACAACTCCTTCAAGCTGATTGTATTATTTTGCGTTTTTTGTGCGCCTAATAGCAAAAACATTACAGCAACATGCAAGCGGAAATCAGAAACAGCAAAAATAAGCTGCGGAACGATTGAAAATCCCCAACGACATTGCTTGAACATAATGCTGCCGTATACACCATATCCATGCCCATCAATACGTATGCGTGTGTATGAGTGTGCTTGGATTGGGTGAGCGTATGCGGTTGTGCAATCAGCTTGGCAACAGACAACGCTCGTTATAGCTGCTGGCGGACATAAGTTAACGATTGTTCATTCAGGCAGCCAAACAGCAGGCGAGAGTTCATTGTGACTCCTGCCGTGGCAGAGGAAGAAAAGTAGGCGACGGAAGGAAGCGGCAGCGACGGTAGGAGACGTTCGGTGAGACTGTAATTGCAGTCGAAACTTAGTGTTTGGGTTGTCTGCCTGCTGGTGACGCTGATTGCTGCACCAGTTAGCAGTTAAACACCGGTATTTGTGTTTGTGTTGCATGCACATATATACGTGCAGATGCAGCACACTTTCTGTGTATGTATGTGTGCGTGTGGAAAGTGCAAAAGTGCAAAGTTGTTGAAAAGTCTTACAACATATTCGCCCAGTCCGGAGGTTTTTACAGCAGCTTTTAGTGGATTTTGTGATTTCGTTAGTTGCTAAGGATTGCCGACAATCGCTCGTTTGCTGCTTGTGTATTAGTGCGCATTAACATGCGTGTGTGAGTGTATTGGAGTTATTCCGCAATGAAACTCTGCATATTTTCACACTAATAAATGAACTGGTCTGCAGTGAATCGATTTTAGAAGCTTTCTATTTATTTTAATCACCTTATTTGGCACTTGCAGTCCATAATTAGATTTATTATTATTTGAATATAAGAATTTATAAATTTTGTTATTTTTTAGATATTTTAAGTGTTTTATAAAGTAGTATAGTCCATATAAGCTCTATCCCTCAACATCCTCTTAGGTCCATAATTGAGTAGAATTGAGTTGATAAGAGTGCTTTCTTAGCAATTGTTGTTATATATTTTCGTTATTGACAAACAAAAACTAAGAAATAATATAATATTTATAATATTTCTTTAGTTCCGAAATTCTTGTGAGATTTTACTGATCAAGACACACAAACTCATTTTCTCCCTACTGTATGGGAGCCAATAAAATTTTAATATGATAAATTAACGCTAAGCTAATCAGTATTTGAAAAAGGAAATATAGTCACGAATATTGGGTAAATAAAAAGAAGGGTTCGTAAAAGGCTAAAATAAAATATTGAGTTTTTTAATTTTAGAACTAATTTTTTATGAGATTTCATTTATATTTTGGTATAATAATTATACAAGGTGAGTTCCAAAGTAAACAGTAAAAAAGTAACAAAGTAAACTCTAGTGGCGTTATCTATATGTCGACTAGTGCGTTAGAATCTGCTATCCTTTATCGACTTCCAGTAAAAATTTCATTAGTTTTTAATTATTGGAAGTGAAATTATTGTGTTTTAAGTGTCAGTATGTTTTCGTCATCGGTGCGAAAATGAGCTTCGAACAAAGAGCCAACATTAAATTTTCTTTTAAAATTGGTAAAACTTTTACCGAAACGTTTCAATTGATGAAACAAGTTTATGGCGATGATTGCCTATTCCGTAGCAGAGTGTACGAGTGGTTTCAACGTTTTCAAAGTGGTCGTGAGAACATAAATGAGAAACGAGCCGAAACCCAAAAAACCGCGCCTGGAGAACTCAAAAGAGAAGACAATGCTGATTTGTTTTTATGATTTTAAGGGTATTGTTCCACTCGGCCAAAACGTTAATGCGGTATTCTACCTTGGAGTTTTGAAGCGTTTGGTGCGCCGTATACGTCGCACTCGGCCCGAAAATCGCGAAGATGGAAGTTGGCATTTGTTGCACGATAATGCGCCGTCTTATCGATCAACGCTTTTGTCCGATTACTTGAACGAAAATCGTATTTTAACAACCAACCACTCCCCGTATTCAACTGATATGGCACCGTGCAACTTCTACCTTTTCGGAAAAATTCATTTCGATGAAAGGAAAGAGTTATGCAGACGTGGATGCTATTCAAAAGACTTGCACCGGCTTCTGGCGGCCATACCGGGCAACGAGCTAAAACACTCATTCGACATGCTTTTGGACCGTGCAAAAAGCTGTATTAAAGCAAAAGGAGACTATTTTGAATAAAATTAATTGATTTTGCCGATAGAACCATTTGTTCTGTCTTTTTTTTTAAAGTTCTGTTTACTTTGGAACGCTCTTTGTATCTATTTATTAAAAAGTAAGTATAAGTAGAAGGTGCATTTGTAATATAAAAATATATACTCTGAAATTAAAAAAAAATATATATATTGTACAGCTCATTACAACTTGAAAAAATTAAAATAAAATACCAAAAAATTAAAAATAAAAATACATATAAATTCAAACAAACGGAAAACTATTTTTTAGCCTACTTCCAGGCACGCGTACGTACATGTTCGATACACTCGAGTGCTATAAATCCGTATTTGTCAAGGTTGGACATTCATATATTATTTATGATCCATATATTCCGAAGTGTTGCGCTATTTCGTTACTATCCCTTGCATAGCAGACTAAAAACTCCGTTAATGGAAACTGCTGTAAAATTTATCATCACTGAGTTTGACAGCAAAACATTCAAAATTTCCACACGATAACACATAACTCAAATGTTATATATGCGCTAACGCATGTGTATGGATAGAGGTATCTGGGTAGGCAACCATTTGTCCACATATATAATATATACATACATTACTTGTATGAACCGCTTGCACGGATGCATCAATTGTTGCGGTCCAACAATTTCTCAAAATACCATAATTTTGATGAAATGACTGATTTTAGTGTTGAAAAGAGTTATATTTCATAATTCATGAGTATATTTGAGTACATAGAATACTTGAGTAAACATATGCGGCGACATACTTGTATATTTCTACGCATGGGAGCATCAGTCAAACAAGCAATATCCTTTATTTGTGTCCAACTGAGGCGAGAGTGTGAAAATTGTTCACCCCTCGCCATTTTATTGATTCATGGGGGTTTGCCGTTGGTTGTCCTCCGCCTTATCGTTTTTTGGATATAAACGTATGCGTATTTTAGACATATCGCTGTGTGAAGTATGTTTATGGGCTCACTTCTAATCAACTCTCTGTTGCTGATGGAACCTTGGATCTACCCTCGAAATTTGCTTTTCTTTTGATGGGTATGATTTACACATACTCATCATTTAAAAGATTTGGAGTGATTAAAGGATTTTGATTAAGATTACTCATCAGTATAACAGCTTTTACAGTTATTTAAAAGCTTTACTATATTTTACAACTAAAAGTATTTTTAAGGTTGATAAAGTAACGAAAGTTACAGTTTCTTTACACTTACCGGTATGCGTTCTTTGATGTGCTTTAAGATGTGAGCTTTTGGTATAGACTTTTTTGCAACCCAAAAATTGGCATTTGTGTATCCGACGCTTGGCATCTGGACTGTGATCGTGTAGTCGCTGGTGGGTCTTGGTGGTCACTGCCGAGTAAGAATAAAAAAAAAATATATAAATTCATTATAAAAAGGCTTGGACTTATTATAATAGACTTGCTGTCTTTTGCACAATAATTATGAACCTTAGCAGTTCGAAAAGTTAAAGTAAGCTTAAAATATTCTTTAAGCAGATAATTAGCGCAAACAATTGTTTGTTGAGAAAGGCAACATATATTAAGTGACTGTTATTAATTTATAACCACTTACCTTGTGTTTTAAAGAGCTTAACGCTTAATTAATATTTATGTTAATTCTTTGGGAGGTTTCTCATTACTTGTATTACAGCGGGGTTAAAGTCGTAAGAAAGAATTGTTCATTTTCTTTGGAATTTTATCCAAAGCTCTATAAACCAATCAAAAGCTTTCAGGACTACTTATAATATTAATTTAATTTAAAGCTGAGTAACCAACGATTCATTTTCTTATACAATTATATAGTTATACTGGTAAGTAGTGACAGAAATTATTAGAAAATATGATTCTTTAAAAAAGCTTTAGATGATTATCTCATTTAGTATTATAATTGAATTTTTTGATATTAAGCAATTCTAAATTTTTGTTCTAAACGAAAGTTTTGAAAAATTCGTTTCGAACGCCAGAAGCTATATTTCTTTCTCTTTCTCTCACACACTGTACACAATTTCAAACTGACTTTCTCTGTTTCTCGCGCACTCATCCTATTTCTTTTCCACCTATAATTTATAGAAGATATATCGCCGAGGTACTCACATGTGGTTACTTGCGGATTTTGCAGCTGTGTGCCGCGTTGGGCGATTTGCGCTGCTGTCACCGCCATATTCATCACATGTTGTTGCATTTGTTGTTGTTGCTGTTTGGATGTGGCTGACGCATTCAACATCGCTGCTGCCACACTTCCGCTGCCGCTATTCTGCATTTGTATGACACGCGCCAAACTAATGGCTCCACTCTTTGTGCCATTCGCCGATGTCAGACGAACGATGGTGCTGCGCGGAATGTTGGAGTGGGCCGTAGACGAGGATGACGACGAAGACAATGTTGATGGCTGTGACTGGGCTGCTGACGGCGGATGCGGCTCGGTATTTGTGCCGGCGCTGGCAGTTTGTATGCTCAAGTGCGACTTTTGTTGTTGTTGCGGCTGCAGGTTTTGCTGTTGCTGTTGTAATAGAGGAACTGTAGTCGACGTCAGAGTAGGATTCTTACTGCTATTGACCAGTGTCGTAACGGCGCTGGAGAAGCGTAGTATGGCGGTAGAAGTTGGCGTTGCAGCAGAATATTGCGACTGACCGATGCGCTGTTGTTGTTGCTGCTGCTGTTGTTGTTGTATAAGTGTAGCCAGTTCGGTAGCACTCATAGTACTAGCATCGATCTGTTGCTGCTGCCTCTGTTGTTGTTGCTGTGTATTGTTTGTGATGCTGGTTCGTATCGATTCGGGTGACGATGGCGGCGTTAAGGTCGGCAACATATAATCCTGCGGGCTTGTGCTACTACTGCTACTGCTGCCACCACCGTTGCTGTTGTTGCTACTTTGATTGTTGCTGTTATGGCCACTGCTGATGCTCACATTAATGCTATTAGCACGACTGTTAGCGCCCTTATTGTGCGCCTTTGTAGCGATTACACGCAATTTGATACCCTTCTCCGGCACCGCCGATAGAGTCGTGCCGATTTGGGCCGAATTGATGGTGCCAACGATCGGCGTCGGCGTGCTCGAAGCGGAGCCGCATGGCGAATACGCCAGCGAAGTGGCAGCGGCATTGCCCAGTGAAGTAGCCAACGCAGTGGCGGTGTACTTCTCTTCGCAGCTATCCGAATGCAGCTCTTCCTCGTCGTCATCGATGCGCTCCTGTTTGACTACCACCGAGCAACTCAGGGCCTGCGAGCCGCTGCTATCCCATGACATGCCGGAACATGTCGAGGACACTGAAGACGTTGTGGAAACTGAGTCGAGGTTTTGTTCTTTGATTTTAAGTTCCTCGAAGATACGCGCTGGGGCCGATAGCAGATCCCATGCTGTGTCGAGCTCATGAATCTTCTTGTATGACTGCAACTTAGGTTCATCGCGCAGATACCGCTCCAGTTCGTACCAAGTCTGAAAGAGGGAACACATTGTTAGAAAACATGACTACAAAGGCGAATAAGCATAGGAGAAGAGACATATCTAATAAGACTTACGATTAAAACCTCAAGTTAAGTAAACTGCTAACGACTTAAGGATGGATGTGGGGTAAAGAAAAAGCAAATATTTTTTGCAAGTGCTCTATTGGCGGAAATTTCTTTTAGATAAGACTCGAATTCGCTCTGATTAGATCACGGTAGCGATTGTTTGAAACCAGAGATTAGATTTGAAAATTAAAAATGGCAAATAATTGCTTATAAAAAAGCATTTCCTAACTTGTGTAACATAGTGTCATACAATCCTCGAGCGATACAAATATCTACTCACGGTTGTGAAATTTAATGCTTGTGGCTCATTTATTCAGTGAGTTATAGTACTTTTAGTAGTTTTCAATATAACCGTTAAATGCGAAGTGGGCGTGGTTATTATTCGATTTTACCCATTTTAACATAGTTTGAAGAGATAATAAAATCACTTTTTCTTTTTTAGGAGGCGGAGCCACGGCCACTTTTAAAAACTGTTTGGCCCAGAGGTGTCCCTGGCCACATCTTAATTTGCGGCTTAGATACGGCACTCTAAAAGTTTTCGTTTATTGGCATTTTGTAGGCGTGGCAATGGTCCGATTGCGCCTATTTGCAATTCCCTTGGATGCCATAGGATAAGTGCACCAACTTTCGTACCTTCATTTTTACAGTTATCCGGATTTCAAACCGTCTCTTCATCCTGATTATTTATATATATGTACATAACCCTTTATCTATCGCGATTAGTTATAGGTGACACAAACAATCGTTAGGTAATAAAAAAGTATAACACAAACAAGTCCGAATCATTCTGTTAAAACATCTTCTATAATGTGTTTGATTTGTACTCCCTAACACTTAAGCGTTAAATACTGCTTTCCAAATACGAAAATACTTGTAAATATGTTCGTACAATTGTGTAGCACATTACTTAAGAACGATACCAATATTCGGGTAATCATAGTTTGGACAATAAACCAAAAATGGAAGAGGAAATATGAAACATGAATAAAAAATTTACGGTTTGCACTTAATATTAGGTAAAGTAAAAAGTTCGTTCGGTTTTTTATTGATTTTTCAAAAGATGATAACTTTGTGTGCATTTGTTCGATTTAAGTCAAATATGTGCCGTTTTCTTCATAAACTTGTTGCCAACGAGATGCCAACCTCATTATACCCCTCTCGTAGAAGACGGCGTCCCTATTGGCAAAAAACTCGGAGAGCCAATTTTCACAGGCCTTTTCTTGAGGCCAACTTCTCACCATTAAGCGCGTTCGCCATGGACAGGAAAAGATGGTAATCACTTGGTACTAGGTCCGGACTATAAGGTGAGTGTATTAGAACCTCCCATCCGAGCTCCAGGAGCTTCTGGCGCGTAACAAAAGACGTGTGTGGCCTGGCGTTGTCCTGATGGAACACAATTCGGCCTCTGCTGACCAAAGATGGACTCTTCTGGATGAGTGCTGCCTTCAAGCGGTCTAGTTGTTGGCAGTAGAGGACTCAATTGAGCGTTTGGTCATAGGGGAGCAGCTCGTAGTAAATGATTTCTTGCCAATCCCACCAAACACACAGCAAAACCCTCCTGGCCGTCAATCCGGTCTTGGCCACCGTCTGGGCCGCTTCCCCGAGCTTTGACCACGACCGTTTGCGCTCGATATTGTCGTAAGTGACCCATTTTTCATCGCCAGTCACAATCCGCTTCAGAAACGGGTCGATTTTGTTGCGATTCTGCAGCGATTCGCAGATGGAAATTCGGTTCATCATGTTTTTTGCGTTAGTTCGTGTGGCACCCAAACATCGAGCTCCTTTTTGAATCCAAGGTTATGCAAATGGTTCCCAACGGTTTTCTGGTTTATCTTTATTTCCTCAGCAATTAAATAAGTGCTCACGTGACCGCGCCGTATAGTATGACATGATGCGACACGTAACACTAATACTATGGACAATAACGCCATCTCTTAGATAAAAACCGAACGAACTTTTTACTTTAGCTAATACATTTTTCTAGAGAATGTAGTTTCATCATGCCAAGAAATTTAAAGTACAAATTAGGTGTTGTTTGCTGATATTTATTATGGAAAGGTTTGATTTGATCGATGGGTTCAAATAAAAACACTAGTTTACCATACACCATATATATAGCCGCTGAGTTTCATAGCGCTCTTACAAATACACTTCTGCGATTGCGTGTCGAAATCGTTGCAACACAAAGAACACAATCTAATCGCGGATGAATCAGTAGCAAAGCAATTTTACTCACTCATGTGGGATGATTAATAGGTGCTTTCAACAACAATATGTACATATACGCCTTGTTCAAGGTACTTTTAACAAATGTACAAGTAAGTACATATACACCATGTAAAAAATTTTAAACTCGCTGTTTCGAACCAAATCAAAACTATGGAAGGGTATTGTAGAGCGGATAAAATTACTTCACAATGCAAAATGCGCAAATTTTTCTTATGGAAAATAAAATGAAAGTGAAATAATAAGAGTGCCTGGTGCACCAAATTCATTTCACACAAGTGAGTTTTTAAGAACAAAAATTTAAAATCTTTTGCCTGGACAACAGTTGTTGTTGTAAGCGAACTGGATTGCTGGTGCATAGAGATTATTAATCGCTACCATCTTTTGAGGTACTGCAATAGTAATCTATATCGCGTGCTCTTTTGTGACCTGTATAAAAGTTGGAACTAATTAGTAACCTCGGATTATTGACAACATGCAAACTGGAATCTGATACATCCATAAAGGTTACCCCATAATTCAATTTTCACAGTTTTAAACGGACCTTGTTTTCAAAAAGAAAATATAAGCGAAGAAGACAGTAGCGGCGATTTTCATTTTCTGAAGAGTAAGTACTTCAGTTTTAAAATGAGTTAAACTTTTTTTTCGATATATACATCAGTACTCCAAAATATTCAACACATTAATTGCCAGGCCAGTTCATTAAATCGAACTTTTCGTTAATTCGAGTACTTACTTTTTAAAAAATTGATAAATCGTCGTTTGCCTCTTTGGAATACGAATATTATTTTTGATGGCTTCTTTCTGAAGTTCAGTCCATACAATAAGTTTTGTGAAATCGACATTGTTCTGCTTTGCCCACTGGATACATTGTTTCAAAATTTTCACTGCATCTTCATATGTAAGCTTTAAGGCTTCACATTTTCAATTTCGTCAAACAAAACGTAAAGAAACACTTATATCTATAGTAGCCGTTTCTTTCATTATTATTCTTTAATTCTTTTTACTCTGTTTTCATCACGTATTTATTTTATTTTCAACTCTTTCTTTCTCTTTCTACATACATTCGTCTTCTTCATGTTGTTCGTTAAACCGAGTATCAACAAATCCCTATTGTTCGTTATTTAAGGTTCTCAATGTAAAAAATTCGTTTATACGTTATAAGCAGTTTTTGTTAAAACAAATATTCGTTCTTTCGGAATATTCCTGTATTTAGCAATAGGATACCCTGCAATTTTAAGGCGCCAGCTAAAGCGTGGTAACCACTTTCATATAAAATTCAGGCCCAAATTTTTTAACAAATGCCAATGAGAATCATTAATAATCGTAGATTGGCGAAGATTATGCAAAAAGCTTTTGTATGAAAAAAATGAGCGTATGAGAAAATCCATGAGATTGAAGAAAAATGGCGTTTCATTGCTTCTAATCACAACACCTTTTAAATGTTACAAAATCGAGGGATGAAATTGGCATATCATACTTCAAGCATGAAATTTCAAACATCAATAATTCATAAAAGAACAGAAAAAAGGATATTCAAAAATCTAATTTTAGCATCTCCTTTCATTGTAATACAACTTAAATGCTCTTTGTGCTTTCCGCTCCGTTCATGTTATGCAATTTCGATGTAAACAAAGCTAAATAAAAGCGATTGAAATCTTGCAATATTTATTGTTAATACCTGTCGCCTCATCCCCTCTCTGTAACTGTAATAAATTCGCTACTAAGAGCGCTAGCGCCAGAAAGCATGCAATGGAAAATAAATGTTTGCTTCAAATATGATTTATGTGGAGTGATTGCTGGTCAAAGCTGCAAAAACAAATAACGCAAAGATAACAAAAAACGAAAATCGTTATTACATACAAGCGCAAACTCTATAACAATAAAATGGCATGTGAATGTAAGTGTGTGCGCGCAGTGTTTTCAGCGCCATGCAAAAGAGATTATTTTTGAATTTTGAATGAGATACATGGGCAACTAAAGCGCCAGCAGCGGTAGCAGCAATAGCTATTATAACAATAGCAAACTGAAAAGAGGAGCATCGGCATGGAAAATAAATATTTCGCCCTTTTATTCTCAAATAACTAACACGCTGCCGCCGCAGAGCGCGTATGCCTAGCATTTTTTGGCTATTATACTAAACAAAGCATTTGAGCGCACATTTTTGATAAATACTGATATGCTGATGTGTGTGTGTGTGTTGTTGTTAGCTCGGTTAGTGTTTGTGTATGTTTTTGTTCAATGTTTGCTGGCTGTTGCAGGTTCGTCGTTATTGTTATTGCTCTGGCATAATTTATGGTGTTTGCTTTCACCCATTTGCTGTTATTATTTTTATTGTTGTTGTTGCAGTGTAAAACGTTCAATAAATTGCCGCTTTCCTTTGCGCTCCAACTCCCCACTTGGACTATTCGTTACGGTTATTGTGCATATCTACTGATTGATTGTATTGTGCTGAAGTGGAAACTGTTGAATTGTGCGCCATTATGACGCATTTCAAATTTCGTTGCAAATTAGCAAACACACACACAATATTATACAAAGTTTGCTAACATGGATTACTAAGCACATATGAATACAGCTTTTAACGTGTGTGTATTTCATTAGCTCACACTGACGAACTAAACAACGAGTTTTATAGCATGTGATCGTTGGATAAATACTCATATTCTAAATATTATTTAAAAAAAAAATGTACCTAGA